GCACGGTTAACGTTGGACTGTGGTATCCTAAAGGCTCTTCGTGTCTTCTCGTTGGCTACTCCGACTCGGACTTTGCTGGTTGCAAATTGGACCGCAAAAGTACAAGTGGGACTTGCCACTTACTTGGTAGCTCTTTAGTTTCATGGTTTAGCAAGAAACAAGTCAGTGTTGCGTTATCCACAACCGAAGCGGAATACGTTGCCGCCGGTAGTTGTTGTGCTCAAATCCTTTGGATGAAGCAACAACTCGTGGACTATGGCCTTAGTATCAGTCACGTTCCTCTTCGTTGTGACAATACTAGCGCCATTAGCTTGACGAAGAACCCCGTTCTTCATTCAAGGACGAAACACATTGACATTAGGCACCATTTCATTAGAGATCATGTTCTCAAAGGTGATGTCGAAATTGAGTTTGTTGAAACACACAACCAATTAGCCGACATTTTCACAAAACCTTTAGAGAAAGAGTCGTTCTTCCGCATTCGTAGCGAACTCGGAATCCTTGACTCCACGATGATCTAATTTGTGCATTTTATCATTCTTTTATTGTTACTGGAACGTTTACTAACTTGAGCGTCGGAGGGTTTTCTAACTCTTTTTTGTAGGGACGGTTCGAATTGAAGAATTCTGGAAATCAGGGGGAACCAGCGATGGGTAATGGGTAGGCCATACCATCGCTGGGAGGGAAGTCCTTTTTTTCAGAACCTCTCTTCCCATCGATGGGTGCTTCTTCCCATCGATGGGTAATTGACTCTTTTTTTTAAAATATGCTTAACGGATTTCCAGAACACCTTAACCCATCGATGGGTAGTTTATCCCATCGCTGGGTGAAGGATTTTTTTTTAAAAATTTTTTTCAGAACCCCTCTTCCCATCGATGGGTGCCTCCTCCCATCGATGGGTGAAGGACTCTTTTCGGACATCTTTTCGGACACCTTTTCGCTGGGTGTTTGACACCGTTTTAAAAACATCTTTTCGGTTTTCCAGTAGCCACCCTCCCATCGATGGGTGAGTTTGACCATCGATGGGAAGGCGGCCTTAATTTCTTCCGTGCTTTCCAGTGGTGATCATCCCATCGATGGTTAGATCATACCATCGATGGGAGCCTGCAGTTTTTCAAAAAAAATTTAACCGTTGGAACCACATTTAATGGCCCAACAGCTAGTTTTTTAAAATTCCACACGGTTCTCTCCCTTCTCCTATAAATATACATCCTATCCTACCATTTCTAATCACAATTTTCCTCCAATTCTTTATCTCCTAATCAAATATCACTCTCTTCATCAATTTTTTGGCAAGCAACGCTGTCATGGCCGGAGGAAAATCCAAGAGCAAGGCCTCCAAGAAGAAGACCGCCACCGAGGCTACGTGCTCTGCGCCACAACCCTTCCCATACCTGGACGGCTCGTTTCTTGAGTTCGGGTCGGAAGAGGAACTCTCTCGTTTCATCACCTATTTCGCCAAGCGCCCCATCTCTCCGCCAAGGGTGCTACCCGAGCTATACCCTCAACAAAAGGGGTACCACGACCTTGACAATCAACTCAAAGAGTCGGGTCTGTGGCCGTTCGTCTCCAGAAGCCGTCAATCCTTCAATCCCGCCTATGTTCGGGCTTTCTACTCCAATCTCTGCTGGGACGGGGACACCATCCGGAGCAGCATCAATCTCTATGACATAGAGTTTGACTTGGCTACTTTTGCTAGGGTCGCAGGGCTGCCTACCCGCGGCGACGACATCGCGTCATACGGAGGCGACGATTGGATCCTCAACAACGAGGCCGTCGTCATTCGTGAGCTCGGGATCACCACCTTGATCCGTCACAGCGGCGCACCGACGATTCACTCGGCCCCACCGGAGAAGCGCCTCCTCCTCTACATCATCACCCGAATCCTTCGCCCTCGGGACAGTGGCCACACCAGTCTCTCCAACGAAGATCTCAAGGTGGTGCACGCTATCATCCATGGTGCCTTAATCAATTGGGCAAAATACGTCATGATTCACATGACGGATTGCGCCTCAATCGCCACCGAAAGGAGCTTGCCATACGCCTTCCTCGTCATGGACCTCATCATCTCCGCCGACATCCACATCGTCGGGCCAGACACGAAGATGACGAAGCTGTGGATCATCCAAGACAGCACCTTCCGGAAGAAGTCCGGTGACGAAACAGGCGCTGGACCGAGTCGGGCGCGTGCCCCTGCCCCTGCCACTGCCCCCACTCCCGCTCGGGCCTCACTGTAGTCCATAGCCGATACCCTGAATCGGCTAACCGTCACCGTGGATGGCATGGGCCAGTACCTGGAGAGGATGGACTATTCGATTCAACGCCAAGGCCACGACATGCGGGCGTACTTCCGCGGCATCAACTACGTCCCGCCGCCCTTTGACAGCACCTTCCTAGGCCAAAACTATGAAGGCGAGGACGAGGACGAGGACGACAACTCCTTTGCTCCGTCCTCCTCCCCCGACGAGGCCGACTTTGAGGACGCGGTCGACGGGGATCCCATGGACGTCGAAGACGACGAAGAAGACGAAGACACCGAGGACGAAGACGCCGCTGCCTAGATTCTTCTTTCTTTCCCTCCTTCCTATGATGTTTTTATTATCTTCATTCCGTTGTATTCCGCATTTCCTTCTTAAAGAAATAAAAGCTTACTTTTGAAAATTAAAGTTTACTTTTAATTCTTTTTGTTAATGTCAAAAGGGGGAAGATATCAAGGTTATGCACAAATTGAGGGGGAATTTTTGAATAAATTGGCATCTATTCAGGGGGAACCTTTTTTTTAAACAAATCCTCATATGCATAACCTCATCTCGTTTGCCATTATCAAAAAGGGGGAAATTGTTGAAACACGGGCTTGTCATGTTTTCGTACTAAAGCCGTGTTCGTTTTTGTAACAGGTTTTGATAATGCCAAACCGCCGTGATCAAGTCAAAACAATGAATATACAAGGCGAAGAATGGAAAAGTTGAAGAAGAGCTAAAAGAAGACCAAGAACGAAGACATTAGACTTAGTGTTGTTGAGTCGGTCTTTATTGTGATCAAGGCCGACCCAATCTTTACACCGTAGCTCTTTAGGCTAAAATCTCCCATTGCATTTCTCACATCATAAAAATGTTTTTCAAACATGTTTAAAACATTAAAAACACTTGGTGTTCTCCCAAACCAAAAACTAAGCCATCCGGTGTTCGGGTTTCAGAAACCGGCGTTCGGCTCTCGGTTATCGGCTATGGTTTTTGGCGTCCGAACCAACCAAGT